GTCCACCCTGGTTGGAATATGTGCTTGTCGGATACCACCACTTACTAGTAAAATGGTTCTCTAAATCTATTTACTTAATAAACGAAACACATAAAAGGATTAAGGTGTCCCCGGAGTCTCCAGATCATGCCAGATCAAGTTCCCATGAGCACAGTAACTCTGATAGTATCGTTTGGATGCTAATGTAACGCTTCATTCAATTGCCATTCTCCATCCTTATGAACTCCTTATGTACCTTAAAAAGAAATATAGTGCTAAACAGCGGTAGCACGTCCTCTCACTAAAAGTGCAATTCACTGATATTCGAGAATTGCACTCTAATCTCAGCGCAGTCCATCAGCATCTTGAGACTCAGAAGCCGCACCTACATTTCTTAACGGAGACGCAAATTGGATGTCCATTGAATGCGCCATACCTTGATAATCCTGGATCCTCCTTGGAGCACAAATTCAATTCACGTGCCGGAGTCAGTATGTACTTCCTCAATGACATATGCTTCCAGCGTCTCTGTCACCTCGAAAACCCCACTTTTTCGACAATCTGGGTGATAATAGATACAGGTATTGTTAAAATCCTTTATGCCTCTGTCTATCGATCGCACAGTGGTGAGCAGGAGACAACACGATTATTTGATTACCTTAGTGAGACTACTGACGTGGAGCTAAATCGGTATCCTAATGCACAGTTGATCTTTCTGAGGGACATTAACACTTGTCACCAAGACTGGCTGTTCCTATACCAGATGATCGACCACACAGGAAAAGAAGCGTGGAATTTCGCTTTGACGCTAGGTTTTTCTCAGATGGTAAAGGAGAGAGGGTACCCTAAGTAGATCGTCACACAGCAAATTGCTTCGACCTTCCGGTAGTCACCGAACCAGACAGGTTACCTCTACTTTGAGTACATCTATCCACTGTTTGATGAAATCTGTATCGTCATATTCTCCACCTGATTACGAGTCCCAAGGTGTTCGACGAATATGGCGGTATAAGTAAGCTGATTGCATCTCATCATTCTACACTTTTTTGCATCTTAACCTTGGCGGGATGTCTATTTTCCTTCTGCGAATCCTTTAAGCTGCGCGGTTGCGATCACATATGTGTTGCGTCAAGCTATCGAGTATTTTATCGCCTTCTTTGATGCTCCCACCGGTAGCAAAGATCGCCCATGGTTTAATTCTGAATGCGCCCAAGCTGAAAAGCGCAAGCGTTTAGCGTACCTACCTTGGCTTGAGACTCAAAACCGCAAAGCTCCGGATATTAGCTCCAAGAAGAAAAATTTTAAGCAGGCTGCCAAGTCCTACAACAACGCATTACGGAAAGCTACTCTCGATCGCATTAAACATATTAGCTCAGAACTCTCTACCAGACCATCCGGCATTAGAGCGTTTTGGTCTTTCGGCAAAGCGGTCGAAACAAACTTCTGTCGGCTTACTCTGCCTCTGCTGGTAAAACCAGATGGCACACCGGCGCATACGGCTAAAGAAAATGCAGATTTGTTCGCGTCTCTCTTTGCCTACAATTCACGTCTGGACAGTGGCAACGTTCCACCTAAATTACCTCACTGCGTTACCTCTATGTCAGAGGTTCTTATAACAAATAAGGAGGTTCTTAAAACATTGAGATGCTTAGACGTGAACAAAGCTAGTGGAATGATGGTATACCAGCTATAGTTCCAAAGGATTGTGCACCTGAGTTGCCTCTTTTGCTGACACGATTAGTCCGCTTCTCATATAGGGTAGATACAAACCAAGTCCTCGGGCCAGTTAGGATCAAATCCAGTCCGAAAGAGAAGTTATGGTAAACCGTGTAAATCTCACACAACATGCATTATCCGAATGGTGTGATGCCAATTTTGTTAAATTCAACACCTCCAAAACACAAGCGTGTCTCTCCACTGCAAAAAGGAGCCAGTTCTTTTTTTTTGTAATTTATCACTGGAATATACCGACCGACATCAGTTGTTAGGGTTTGAGATAACCTCAAATCTGAACTTTGGGCAGTTCATTTAAGGCCAAAACAGCTACAAAGAAGCCGGGAGTCCTTGCAGCGGTGCGGCGATACTTCACACCAGGACAGCTGCTTAATTTATATAAAGCGCAAGTCCGGTCGTGCATGGAATATTGTTGCCATATATGCGCTGGTTCTGTAAAATGCCACCGAGTAGCTTTGGACTTAATGAAAAGGCGTGCTAAGCGGCTTATTGGTGACGCGAATTTGGTTAAAATCAATCTTACCAGCCTCGAACACAGACTAAAAGTAGCCAGCCTATCGGTTTTCTACAGGATGCATTTCGGAGAATGTGCGCAGAAATTGCATAATTTAATTCCTCCCTCTCCCTTCTACCTTCGGACAACCAGACGTTCGGTCAGTCTCCACCCTTTCGTTGTTGACTTACCACGCATTCAAAATAAAAGGTTCGCTACGTCGTTCATCATGGTATCCAGAAAAGGAGTGAAGTAAGTTGCTGTCTGCCTTTCCATCCAATTACAGTGTCGGTGCCTTCTAGGCACCTTTTGTTAAATTAGTGCGCTTCACTTTACATCATCACTTACCATCAGGTGGGATTGTAGATAAGCGCTAGCTTAGCAAAATATAAAAAAGTATGTAAGTTCACTATAGATTGAGGACCTTTAAGTGTTAATATCCTTAATGATCATTAATCTATAGTGTATTTATATACTTAAATATTTGGTGTCCTTGTTAACCATGCTAAATCCCAAGTTATGATTATTGGCAGCTCACATACGCTGAACTTATTAAACCTTTCGATGATCCCTGCTGTAATTTACAATTATACTCAGATTACATATACAAAGATTGCTAAGAACTTAGGTGTCATCTTTGATAATAATTTGTCTTGGGTTGCTAACATTAATATGATTAGCAGGAAGTTGAACTACTCTTTTCCATCTCTCAAGCGTCTCCATATGTTTTTACCGCTAAAAACTAAGATAACCTCAGCTCAAACACTTTCTCCTCTCATTGACTATGCTGATGTTAGGTTTCTGGATGCTTCAGAGGAACTGTTGAAGAAACTAGAACGTCTTCAAAATTTGTGTATACGTTTTATTTTAGGTCTTCTTAAGTTTGATTATGTTTCATATTACAGGGCTCCATTAAAATGCTGGCTTCCTACCCGTAGATTACAAGACTTACATGTGTTATCATTTCTCTACTTTTACTGTTTAATCCTCTCGCACCTCCATACCTCTGCGAGCGTTTTGAGTATCATGTACCTCGGGAATCTCTGTGCCGAACCACTAAACAACTACTTCGTAAAACACCTTCTCTTATCTCAAGTCGATGTAGTGGATACTTTACTGCAAGGGCAGTCAAGCTATGGAACTCACTCCCACACGTCACACATGCTAGTTCTTCTCTTGATATATTTCGGAGCAGAGTAAAGAAACATTATCTCTCAACTTAGAATTAGAAATATACAAATATATTATATATATATATATATATATCTATATCTATATATATATATATATATATATATATATATATATATATATATATATATATATATGTGTGTATTTATTTATTTCTGTATTAAGAGAAATAGAAAAGAAATATATCTATATTCGTACAAAAATATGTTAATTGTTAAATATATCTTATGATCAGTTTCTATTATGCTGTGATTTTGTTAAATATTAAGTATAGACACTGCTAGCTACTTGCTTTACATATGACACTTTTTCTCTTTCCCAAAGGTTTTTCTGAAAGAGAACTCTTATTAGGGTTTAAGCTCGCCTTTGAACATCTTATTTAATATTAAAAAAAATATCATCTTATTGTGTGTACAATAAAGGATATAGAACAAAATGCGTCGTTAATAACTCAATCATCATAATAGTTCAATCTAAGATTTTATACCTACGCCCCGCCTCCAATAATAATGTATCTATTTCGATAACATTCGATTTATACCCACAACAGGTGTGTAGAGAGTTCAGTTCATTGCCTGATAAAAAGCCGCTAATTAATATGGCTGCATTGACTTAAGTACTTTAAAATGAAAAATACTGTCTGCATTATACATAACCTACGACAATTAATTTTGTTTGCTTAAAAAAGTTTTTTTTTTTCATTGTTAGAGATATTGAAATAAATGTAAAGTTACAGCTTTTTAAGCGTTCCACTTTCAGTCACAGGATTTTTGTTATTATAAGGAGTATTACTCAGCAATTATTCCACCGCGCCTCTCCAGTACGATTTGGCGAACTACAAAATAATGTTCTCAAAGTATTAAATTTCTCAAACAAGCAGATATCCTCATGTGGTTTATCTTTACCGCAACATGTGATATAACAGCAAGTAAAATGTTATTTAACAACTTACCTGTCCGCGAAACATAAAAAGAATACAATACAAAGAATACAAAAGAAAAAGATACAAATTGAAATGTTTACACGAGTTTATGACTCATGGGACCGTGATATGGTTACCAAATTCATTGGTGCTGGCGGGAGTGAAAAAGTGTTTCTTGTGAACAATATGGATTTTACGGAGAACGCTTAACCTCTAAACTCTAAATAAAAGCGGGATAGATATGTATCCTTTAGCAACGTGTATGGGGTACTTGTAATCGTATGTACATACGCAACAGTTTGCATAGAAGTCAACTGCTGAACATGGGCATCTTCCGTTGTATTGCATGCATGCAATGCATTTCCATGTCAGCAATTTATTATTAATATACGTTGAACAGATAGCTTTTTAATTTAATAAAAACACTAGCATTACTATTAACGTTGTTACTATTCCTGTTAACTAATCCAGGTAAGCTTAAAATGCTTGTGTTAGTAAAAGTTCACGACAGTACAACTTTTTGAGTTCACGGTCCTCAATCATAATCCTAAGGCTACTGTCGTTTTCATATTATTTTTACTTACACATGATAAGCTTATTGCAATTGGCCTTATTTGCAAATTTTGTATATGATTTGCATTCAAGTGTACATTTCAATCAAAGTGGTTTTCTTTGTTGCAGGTACACAATGGTCTACAAATTCTCCAATATGAAGTATGTGCCGTTATTAGTATTTCAACTGATTCTCATGATATTATACTTCATATTTGTAAGATATGGAGGAGATAAACACCATGATATTAGAGGTAACACTTATTCAATATAAATTTGTGTTTTTCCCAATATTAGTCTTGTGTGTGAGTTTGTGCCGTGTGGATGTAGGTCAAGAGAATCAATTAATAACTTTTTAACGTACTTGACTACTATCTCACCTGAAGGTGATTTAGTGATACAGCGAAGATTGTAAATCTCACTGACTTATATTAACAGAAGCCTATTCACTCTTACCTTGAAGACACCTATATTGTAATGGGATAGAAATACAGACGATGGCAAATTATTACACTCCTTTGCTGTAAGCATTATTAATGACGAAGCAAAATGTTTAAAAAAAACTCACTCCACTTATTCTCACGGGTGCCGCCAAACCTGAAATTTTCGACGGAGACAAATAACAGCGGCAATGTTACTAAAAAAAGGCTATGTAATACTAAGTTATATTGATGACTAGCCACCTACCCGGATTCGCCTGGGTAGGATATATTCATAAGATTTAAGATAATCGTTGAAGACCAAGTAATATCAATCTTTCGATTTCTCAAACAAATATCTCCAATTTTTTCGGATAAAGTATAGCAGAGATCACAACTATCAATGCTCTCTATCGGATAGTGAAGTTTCATTACAATTGGTTCCGCTATTCCGAAAATTAGCCCAGACAGACTGACAATAATTTAAAAAATGATTATTTGTGTTGTTAAGGCATTATAATAATACACCCGCCAGTTTTAACTTTGTATGTATGTGTCTTTTTATATTTTCATGTTTATTGGTGTACAATAAAGTATGTTTCATAACCCTCTGAGCTCAATAAAACACACTTACTACGATATTACCGGCAGACACTTCAATTTTATTAATATTATATCTATACTATTACTTTGATATTATAAAGAAAGAGCGCGAATTTTGTGAGTTTGTATATTTATTATTTAAATATTTCTTTCACCATGTTAAAAGTAAATTATTCCAGATGGACATATGATATATATTTGTGTATATATTCATATTGTTACTAAATTTTTGTTGATATTTGTCAACAAAGTCGGAAAAAATCGTGCTTCTTGAGAGCTTCCACAGCGTACGCTGCATCAATGGTTAAAGTTGAACGAAAATAATGTATAGCTGAATTAATCCTCTTAAAAAGTTCTATACAATATCTCCAACAACATATGTCTATCTTCTAAGGATAACTCACAATCTATACTAATATTATATGGAGAGAGTGCGAATTTCAAGAGTTTGTATATATATGGAGGGTAATATCCGGAACCACTACACTTATATGAGAATTTCTTTCAAAATTTGAAAGGTACATTATTCCAGATGGACATAGGCTATATATTTTCTATATATTATATTATAGCTAAGAGTTGTTACGATATTTGTCAACTAAGTCAGTAAAAGTCGTGCCTCTTGTGATGTTTCACAGCGTGTGCTGCATCAATAAGTAAAGTTGCATGAAAATAATGTATAGCTGAATTTTTCCTCTTCTAAGCCGTTATCCTAATGTCACAATAACCACAGTTATGATGGCGGTTAGCGCGGCAAAGACGGGAGGAGCTGCGGTGTGTAGAGGGGGAAATAACGTATCAAAGTAAGCAACCCAAACGGGCAAACACGTGAAAAATAAATCGGCCACAAAGTCCAGGAGGAATCAGCGCATGAGTACCGATAACTATTCCACCTCTATTTTTAATGCGATTCTCTTTAAATTGTCCTAACGATGAGATAAATGCACGTTGGAATGGGGCAACTCGGTGTCACATCGTTTTAACAGATTTTTTTCAATTGCAAGCAATTTTTATTTTCAAGCGGGTCAATTTTTTACGTTTTTTGATGAAATACAAATAAAAAAGGTTTTACGATAAAATTAATATTTTCGGAGTTATGAATTTTTAAAGGTTTGAAAAATCCCGAATTCCGACACTTTTGACTCATTAATAATATTTTAAGAAATGTATAAAAATGTTTTTTTTTTATTATTCTCGATTGTGAATATTATTAACTATTGTGTAAAAAATATAAAAAAAAAATTTATATTTATTCCTTTCTTTATATGTATATTTTCATGTCAATAATATCCGAATTCGGGATTTTTATAGTCAAACTGGCTCTTGAGGTGTTTTATTCGCTACTTCTCTTATTAATATTAACCCATTCATTTAAATATAAACTGCCTTTGAGTGTCTTTATCCAGAAAGAATCCATATATTCCATATAAAAATACGGACCACAAGGCAAACTTCTTCAATACGTCTGTGTCATAATGTGGAACGAATGTACGATGAACCATCGCTCATATTTCAGAAGTTGTATACAGAATTCTAAAAGACCTAAGAAATTAGATAAAATTATGGAAAACGTCACTTTCGTGTCTGCAGGTGACTTTCGTTAAACTCTTCCTATTGTGCCTAGAGCAACACGTGCAGATATACTTAAAGCCTGCTTAAAGGCGTCTCCTTTATGGAGCTCTGTACAACCAATCACCTTAAGAACAAACATGAGAATCTATTTAGAAAAAAGTAATACGCTTTTCGCGAGTTATTTATTATGAGTAAGTGATGGGCAAATACCTTAAGAAGATGGCCTTATTAAAAAAGATGAGTTAGAAAAGTTTATCTCAAGTCTTAATGATTTGATTTAAATGTTTAGCCATGGATATGCGAGAAGGCAATAGTTTCGCCAAGAAATTCTTCTGTTGATCAAATTATTAATAGTTTTCAAATATTAGAAAAAATCCCAGCTAATCAAAAATATATAAATCCGTTGATACCGTAATAGATACAGAAGACGCTGTGCATTACCCACAGGAATACCTTAACTCCCTTAACCCTTCAACACTTCCCCCTCTTACTCTAAAATTAAAGTCGTTATTCCAATAACTATTTCGAAACCTGAATCCGCCTAATCTGTGCAAAGGTAAATCGCTACGTAATAATGTGATTGAGAGTATCATTCTTACAGCACTAGCGGCAGGTCAATTGGCTCATATTCCCCGCATTCCCATGATATAGCTTTCCAATATAAAGGATTATAGTTTCCAATAAAAAAAAATTTCGCCTTCAACATCAACAAATCTGAAGGCCAAACATACACATATATTAAACTTGACTTAAGGGAAGATTGTTTACTCACGTACAATTATACATTAGTCTCTATAGGTCAGAAAATGCGGGGAATCAATTTGTAATAAAGCAGCAGAAAAATGGAACAAAAATGTGTTATACGAAGAAGTTTAAAAATAAGTTATATCTATTAAGCTAAATCTGAAATATATTATACTTATATACATAATTTTTTAACCAGGGCAAAGCCGGGGCGGGCTACTAGTACATGCATACTATGCATAAAGATGATAATATGGATACCGCCAGAAGAACTAGTAATCCTATGTTTGTTCGGTTTTACCTTAGCATTACCCATTTTAAATGTAATGATTTTAATATAGAATAATAAATGATTCTTTACAATTATAAGTGATCAGTTTAAAATTTAATTTCAATATTAAGTTATTAAATTTTTAACATATTAAGTAAAACTAAAAAAAAACATGGTCTACTCGTAGGAATGCAAATGATTATAATTTTTTCATAATAAACATAAAATAGGGTTAAGAGACGATTTTATAGTGATCAATTAATATGCTTCTTTAATTAAAATTTATATGTGCAACCGTCTAACAAGCATGTCTTAGCAATTAATTTAATTCGAATTAATTATTAATGTCGTAAGACGAAACACGATTCAAATGAACGTGACATACTTGTTATGATATGTCAGTAGAATAGAACAGAGCGTTATATAATACAAATTAATGATAGGTGTATTATATCCGACAAATTGTAACATTTGTATATTCTGATTACTTGGAAAATAGGATACAGCTGTAAATCTTTAAAATTATTACGTAATATGAGTAGTTATTATTACTCATATTACACTACGTATTATTCTACACTACATATAATTCTACGTGGTAGAGCCATGCTGCAGCTATATTATGGTTGTAGGACGAATATGTCGGCTCGACCAGGAAGGACCACGCTCTCACAGAAAACCAGCGTAAAATAGCAGCTTAACGCTGCTGTGTTTCGTATGGTGAGTGTAGAGAACCGGAGAACCTTTTTACTGGCAAAGAGGCATTCCATCTTAGTCCTCACGGGTGACAACGCATCTGCATCTTGAGTCTTTATTGAGGATAGATGTAGATGTCTATGGGTCACAGTAACCACTTACCATCAGGTGGACTGTGTGCCCGTTTGTCACCCGATCCTATAAAAAAAGTTATATCTTTTTAAAGTTAAGTAATAAGTTGATAGCTATATATTTAGCCTTTTATGTTTAATGAAACGTATTTTTACGAAATTTACTATTATTGGAATTTATTACTAAACATAATATTGAGAACTGTCGACGTTTCGAGTGCTTTATCACAAGCATGGTCACAGGATTTCTTGATTAATAGGATTTCGGGATTACTTACTACAACAGAAATTAATTATTTTTATAGAATGGCCTTTATTTTTCACTTATTTTAAAATTTCGAGGTTTCCAATACTTATGAGAATAAAAAAAAAAGCGATAAAATCCATAAAACTCGGTTTAATTTAATATGTGTAATTTGCCATATCTCTTATCACGTACAGTTGTGTTGTGTATACTCAATACTATATTCGGAAAGTAAGACAATGAAGGGTTTATATTGTAATAGTAATTTTACCATAAGCATCGTAAGATGCGAAAGAAAAACAGAAACAGAAAAACAAAAATCAGGATATGTGCAGTAACGTCTTTTTAATAACAACAAGAAGATAAAAATAGTTGAAAGATTGTGTAAATGACATATTTTTACAAGAATTGTTATTGTCATTTTTGATTTTAATTATTTCCTTAGCAGGTGTCAATTACACGAGCGCAGATTGACCCCAAGCTTGGGAGTTGATCCCATTGTCGTTCTCACGAACAATTTGAACGTTGTTGGTATCAGATGAGCCAATCAACGCAGTGCTCATATTAATGTGTG